TTATGCCTTTTTACACCCTCCTGCACCAGTATCTCATTCTTTATTTCAGACACCATCAATTTCATGGTCTAAACCTGAAAGACCACATTTCAACATTCCTACTGCTTCTGCTAACTGGCAATGGCGTAGGACAGAATCCAGTTCAAAGAAAGTTTCCAAATCTACAGAAGACGCTCCAAAGTCTTCCCATTCAACCCCAACTTTATCTCCAAAAAGACATGACTCGGGAAAAAGCCACTATTTTCAGGATTCTCAAGATCCTTACTCTCAGATGCCCATCAGCCAAAATTTTGGCTTTGGCAGACAAGATGAACAAGTTACTATTTCAGAATCATCTGAAAGCTCCAAATCCGATGATAATTTTCTCAATGATTCATCTTTACAAAAATATATTTTATTAAAATAATATTAAATATTTTTTTTTACTCAAATCTTATTATAAATATAACATTAAATTATTTTAAAAAATTAAATATTTATGCTTAAACTAATTATGGGGTGTGAAATGAACAAACAAGGGTGAGAATAACAGTTCCCGTAATGCATAAGCTTACGGTAAATCTCAAATATGGGCTTCCAAGGGTCCATCTTTTTCACCTTAATATAAGTTCTTATTTGGACATGAATGCTTACCAATATTATTGACAAATCGATAGCATAATAACATCGAAGTGCAATTTTCGATTAATTCGTTTCAAGTTTTTGTGAAAATTTTTAAGAAAACCTTTTATTTTTATTTTTTTTATTTTACAGAAATGATTACTAATTTTTGCTTTTAATTGGTTCCTAAACATAGGATATATCATTACTCTTTAATATGCTTTATACATTTCTTTCCTTTGTGTATTATTCCTTTTTTCTGACATTATTAGAAACTCTTAATCATTTATAAGTTATAACATTGTCATAAAAGTCGAACAACATTATTTGCACATTATCTTTTTTTTTTATATTTTTTTATGTCATTCTTACATTAACATAGAGAAACATATATTTGATCGGACCCAAACCTTTTTTTTCTAAAGAAAGGTAGTATAATAAAAAGATTTGAAAAAGAAAAATGAGTGCAAGAGTGATGTTCCACAAAAGTGTGTGCAGTGTATACTATTTCAAATGCTCTATTCTATTGTCCTCCTGTTGGTATACCCATTTAGTACCATAAGGCCTTTTGGATAATTTTGACATGGGCCTACCTGCTACAATAATCCTTTGGTATGGAGCAGGAAGTACTAAAAAAATGTACTCAGGGAGCATAATAGATTCTTGTGGGCAAGACAGACATGATGCATAAAGTGTGTTTGAATAGTTATTCATAATATTTGGGATCCACTCAAATGGAGAAACATGAGTGTGGATAGATTAAAATATACATACATTTGCTGTGGGCAAACTAAAAATAATATATGCACTTTTTTTTTTTTTTAATCTTATTAAATATGAAAAACTAATATTTAGAATGTGAGATTAAACACATTATATATATAGCGGAAAGACTTACTTGCTCAAAGAGAAATAGTAATTCATGGTTGATTTATTTTACACAACAACTTATTATTAAGATTGAATTTTAATAATTTATCTGTTAAATTATTGTTTTTTAATAAATCTATCAAATTTACCCATTTTTACAAAGTTTAAAAATTATATGATACGTCATTTATATATATATATATATATATATATATATTCAAATAAACTTATAATATACTTTTATGGACATATGATTGGACCTTTGAAATTCACTAAAGAATATTAGTATTTTTTATATTAGCTTACTTAATTTGAATTCTGTTCAATTACCTTTATATTAGAAGGGTTTCACTAACCATAAGAAAGTGTTATTTATTGTCACTTCTAATTTACACAATATTCTCTATGTCAATGCTATTAAAATATGTAAACTATTGTTCACAAGTAATCTTTACAATATTTTTTACAACAAGCCTGTTCCAACTTAACATAGGAAGTAAAGATAAATGTTTTGTAAAGATAACTCTCAGTGAGAGGGTATATAAGTTGAGGTTATAGTGTAGTAGTTTGCTAAGACAAGGATAAACTTATGGGTTGAAATTAGGATGTGCAAATAATCTGAATTGATACAATCTATTTTGAGAAAAAAAAATTCAAATTAATCGACTTTACAAAATTAGTTTGGTTACTTGCTCCATTTTTACAAAGTGGGTTTTCATTTTTTTTTTTAATTTGATCCATATATGAGTATAAAGTGAATAATTGTACTGCATTAATCCAATTTTAAAAAATTCAACCTATATTTTTAAAAAATCAAATTGATTCACTTTATAAAAAAAAGAATCAATTAATCAATTTATTTTTATAAAATAGATTAGTTTGGTTCAATTTGAATTTTTAAAAAATCTAATTTATAAATAGAGTTAATCACCTATACACTGTCAGTGTAAAGTTTTTTTTACACTGACAACCAATCATATCTTTTAATAGTGCCATGTCATTTGCTTATTTAATCAAATGAAAATAAAATAAAATAATTTAAAAAATATGATTGGTTACCAGTGTAAAAAACTTTACACTGACAGTGTATGAATGATTAACTCTTATAAATAATCCTAACTAAAACACTATTTATCTCATAGATGATAACTTTGAACTTCAATACAAGATTGAAGATGGATTAAAACAACAAAGTTTTGACATAGTTAAGTGTGTATGGTTCTCTCCTTAAACTATTCAATGAGTCTTGTATTAAAAACTTCTTAAGATGTGTCCATTGTGAGATAGGGAGCCCTTAATTAGTTTATTCTGACTCATCTTTAATGCCTGATATGTTCTTTAAGTTTTCGAATGAGTTCTTTGTTTTTTTTAAGAGAACAAAAACATTTTTCATAGGACACACAAGTTTTAGACTTACTAAATGTTTGGATGAAAGATATAAGTCCAAACATGTTAAACATTACACGAACTTTTCATAAAATGGTGCATTATTTGGACAATCATTTTTCTTAGTTTGTTTTAATGTGTAGACTAAGAATGATTTAGATAACTCAATACACAAATCTTCTTGTTCTCTCTTTGGATGCATATATCCCTGCACATGCTCATAAACCATTGGTCTATCAAAATTTATATTAGTTTTGTGATCATCAAAATGTTGGATAATTGTGTGTTTTAAAAATGTCTTTGGTTTAACAATATTAGTATTATTAGAGGTAATGATGATGACAATAACAATGATATTTATGATGACAATGTTAGTATTAGCGATATTAATGATAATGATGACAATAATGATGATAGTAGACGATAATGGTGGCACAAGTGACATTAGTGGTAGTGCTCGTAGTGGTTCTAGTGACAGTCTTAATATTGGTGGTGATTGTAGCATAAAACACTATTGTCAAATGTAGCAAAGAGAGTTTATTTTTTAAACTAAAAACCAAATTCACAATTTTTTTTTGAAAATGAATGTAAAATTGCTATAAAAAATGAATATAGAAGTTTAAAATTGTGTTAAAAATTATTTTAGTTGTATTTTAGCCAAATGTGTTTAATTTTTAAAATTATATTTATAAACTAAAAAAAACTCATAACTACCTTAAAAGAGGTTTAAAGTTGTTCTTAACTAGGTGAGTAGTCTATTTTTGTGTGGGAAGTGGGGAAATACTAGGTGAGTAGTCTATTTTTGTATGGGAAGTGGGGAAATACTATGAGCACTTAGCATATTATTTGTATTATCACTTTGTAATGATAAATAGTAACACATGAAATTACTATAACCACTTAACTCATAAGTCATATTATCTTTCTATGATGAACGATAACACTTTAAAATAATATGAATACTTAATTTATATAGCAAATTATATCTTTGTTAAGATGAACGATAATTCTTCAAAGAACTCATGATGAATATTCAAAAAAAATGCTTAAATAAACATCGATGACTAAAAGTAAGGAAAAGTTTAAAAGTACCTTCTTTAATCTTTCAAAATTCACATCAATTTCTCATGAATTATTTATCATTAGTACTTATTAGCTTGACTTGGTAAACTTTACTAATCTACAACTTAACACAAATTATATCACAATCAAGAACTACTAATATAATAATTTTCACTAAGTAAACTAGTTATTCACAACTAAAGAGAAAAAAGTCAATCTCTTATGGTGTTGAGAGAAACAATCATAAAACTTTTAAATGAACTTCAAAGAATTACAAATAATGATTTTTTTTAGGGATGAGGAATATTCTTTTTAACTTAAAGCAGCTTCTACATATTGAGAGAAACAATCACAAAACTTTTAAATGAATTTCAAAGAACTACAGATTTTTTTTAGGGTTGAGGAATGCTCTTTTCAACTTAAAGCACCTTCTACATGCTTGTGTGCCTTATGAGTACAAGGAGTTTTAATGAGTTTTGAAACAATGAAAAGGTACATGAAGAATGAGAAGAAAATGATAAAAATGGAGTGACAAAGGGGAATATTTATACTTTATAACTTCTATAAGAATTTTATATACAATAATAAATATTTTATTGTACAATTTTATTTTCATAATATAATAAATTATCAAAAATAAAACTTAAGTCTTTATATATTTCTTAAAATCTTTCTCAACCATTAAGTCAATTCTAAATCTTATTCTTCACTTTACACGTATAATTATAAGTTCAAATCTCAAAATTTTAAAAGATATAACTAAAAGATAAATATGTGAGCATTAAATATATCATATAAATTTAATAAATTTAACTGCATTCGGTCTCAAAAAATAATTGGTTCTAACCTTCACTCTAATTTAAACTTTTAATTATAAAAATATAAAAAAAAATCGAAGGATAATTTTTTTTCAAAAGATTGACTGATAAACCAAATTACAAATTTAAAAATATAAAAATTAAAATTAAATCACTAAAAAACTGAGGGATAAAAACCACTCAAACACTTCAATAATAGAAATTGAAGAACAAAATTGAAATAAAGTTTTATTTATTTATTTTTATTTTGTAAGAAAAAAAAAACCCATTTTGCATAACCAACAAGTAAAGGTTGGTTGATTGATTTGTTCGCGACTTTGCGTGCACCTGCAATTGCAAGTTGCGAGCATTCTGAGAGAGCAAAAGCAAATGATGATGAAGAGACTGTTACTGCTGCTAAAACCCTTAAGCGTGTCTTCACCACCTTCCCACATCCACCCTCAGGTAATGCCTTCTTCTCAGCATTGCCTGCACCAACCATGTGCCCTTAACGTGCTCGGTTACCACTTCATGTGATTGTTTTGCTTGCGTTTTTGGGTATTCTTCTGGGTGCCACGGTTGAAAGGGTTTGGTTCCGCACTTTCCCGTGTGCACATATGCTGCTTGATGAAATGTCAATGTGGGTGGGGGGGTTTGTTTGGCTGTGCTGGGTTGGAATCTAAAATGGGTCGGTGGGAAGTCACAAGATCAAACATTTTTTGTGTCTTTCCAGCTGCATTGCTGTTTCCCTCCTGCCCACCTTCATTTCAAGCTGCAAAAGCTTCAGTTTAGTGCTCGATGCTTGATTATATGTGCTTGTTTATGTTGGTAAAAGATGGGGTTGTAATTGGTTACAAATGAACCAAGTGTTTAAAAAATGGTTGACAACCGTGATTTTGGCTGCAGTGTGGAGGCTTTTGGAGTGACCGTGGCCGCAATTGCGGCCGTATCAATCGCATTTGTCTGCAATTTCCCCCAAGACCAAGGATTGCGTTGAAACCGTGACGGCAATTTAAAACCTTTAAATGAACTAAAACCATGAAAATAACTGTTTTTGTTTGTGAGGTTGTGCATGTGAAGGATTTCAGGTGATAGCATGCTCTCAGCAGAATGATTAATATAACTAATAATAACTAGCCATATGTGAATGACCATATATTGATTATATAACTAGCCATGTATGAATGGCTGAGATTAACTCCTCTCAATTGTCATGTGTGTGTGTATTTATGTGTATATGAAGAAAAGGATAACATACTGCTAAGCTGATTTTCTGTTTTGATTCCTGTGGAAGTATCCAGGAATTTGACCTTTATATGATATGATTCTTGCTTAATAAGGGATGCTTCCAGGGTTGTGGGCTTGCGTTTTTTCTTGGATATTATGCATACTTGTAGTTCTATCTAGTGTAGTTTGAAATTTGAATTCTGTTGGAAAAATTTCAGATCATACAGTTCTTGGAGAATAGGCAGAAGGTGCATCATGATGCAATTAACTTTTGTCAAGCTATTCTGCAAAAAAAGTCAGTTGAATGGAAAGCTGTTCTGCGTAACAATTTGTCACATCCCATCAATGATGTGGACCTTGTTGTTACAGTTGGTGGTGATGGAACTCTTCTTCAGGCTGGCCATTTAATGGATGACAAAATTCCTGTTCTTGGTTTGAATTCTGACCCTACACAGATTGATGAGGTATATATACATGTAGTTTTGCTTTTAATATTGATATATTAGCTTCAGATTTCAGATACATAGCATTTTGGATTATGCCAATAAAGAACCAATCTGACCTGGCAGCCGGTTTTGGTCATATTTCATTTTCTTTAGGTGGAAGAGTTCAGCAGTGAGTTTGATGCTACCAGAAGCACAGGCCATCTTTGTGCTGCAACTTTTGAAAACTTTGAACAAGTAAGATTAGCTCTTCTCTACCTATGGAGGGTATATTAGCATAATCATTTTTTCTTTCTTGCAACTCCTTGAGGTGTGGCGGCAAGCATGGGTAGAATGAAAGTTTGAATATGCAGTAACCTGAAATGTTCAAACTTGATGTCACTATTGTTAATTTATCATAATGATGGGCCGGTAATTACTCTTGTCCTGTGAAACCAATTTAATCATTATATTGTTACTTACCTGTCAAAGCCAGTTTAGCATGAAATAGAGATAGGGCTGATTTGAGGTTCAGAGTCTATCTCTAATCAACGATGGATTGATGGGAATTAGAAAAGCCTACATTGATGTGTATCTAACATCCATTTCCTTCCTTTTAAATACTGTTTTGGCCACTCAACTTTGGTGCAGGCTTCAATTTTGTTATAAAACTTACAATTTGATACCAATCTAGTCCATAATAAGTTGACGAGCTTCAAGGCTGCTGCACAATTGCAGATATTTTGTGAAGGGGAATCTATTCATAAAATAAAAATTTACCCTAAAATTGTCTATACAGAAGTTTATGCGAGTTGGAAAATAGTATAGTCCTTTTATACTAATTCAAAATTTTACCTTAGTTTCTTATGATTTTATGTCAGTTTATTACTTAATATATTATATAATGTTAAAAATATATATTTAATTTTCACTTATTTCAGTTGTGGAATCAGCCTCTTGTAAATGCAAGGTAAGGCTGCCTACAATAGACCCATAATCAGTCTGACCCTTCCTTAGACCCTGCCATTGCCGGAGCTTTGAAGCACTAGGTTTGACTAATTCGACAACTGGTTTGGTTTCTCTAATATTGGTCATCGCTTGCTTTCATATTTGTGTCACTGGGAAATAAATTATTTCCTTAACGAATGGCTCCACTTTAACATCAGATAGAAGGTTTCCTGTAATCCTTAGTGCTTCAATCCAAATCATTTAACACGATCTTTTTTCTCTTGGTCATTTCCATCATTAAACCTTGAACAACTGTAAACACGATCATTTTAGTTGGCTATCTGCTTTCGGTATAATATTTTTTCTATCTAGTTTGTAAAATCCTTTTCAGGTTTTAGATGGTACACTTGAAGGTCAAATTGTTCCTTCCGAGCTAACAAGAACCATGATATCTGTTAATGGGCTGCACTTATCAACTTTTGCTCTCAATGATGTCTTAATTGCACATCCATGTCCTGCTTCACTTTCCAGGTTCTCCTTCAGGTAAGAGCTTCCCTATGAAAAATTAAAACTCTTAAACCATACAGTTTACTATTTTCATCTCAGAGCATTAGTTCCCTGTAAAGAAGCCAACTAAGCATGTATTTTTGCAGAATCAAAGAGGGTGAACAACCATGTTCCCCTCTAATTAACTGCAGATCAAGTGGTCTAAGAGTTTCAACCGCTGCTGGTTCAACTGCTGCAATGCATTCAGCAGGTGGATTTCCAATGCCCATTTTATCTCAGGATCTCCAGTACATGGTAAGGGAGCCCATTTCACCTGGGGCAGTCTCAGACTTTATGCATGGATTGATCAAGCGTGACCAGACAATAGTTGCCACGTGGACTTGCAGAAAAGGTGTGATATATATTGATGGTTCTCATATCAATTATACCATCCAAGATGGGGATACCATTGAGATATCTTCCAAAGCACCAGTTCTGAAAGTTATCTTGCCTCATCAGTTGTTATAGTTAGAGATGTCATGTAAATTTCACCGTACATCGATGTTGGCGAAGGGTTAGTGTGTTCAATGAAAAATATAGGCCACGTGAGCTGAAATGTCTATAGGCTTGCAATGTTCCATTCCTTCTTAAGGGTTGAGCACTTGAGCTACAAATGCAGTTCAGAGTATCATGCATTAATATCCAGGCCCTAAGTTTGAAGGTGTCCTGACTTAAAAATTGAAGAGGATAAAGTTTCCAGTTTAAGTATCACTCATAAGCTCCAAGGGGGAATTATTTTCGTAATGGAGAATCTTGTGATTCACAGATAGCCAGGGCATTTTGCTACTTAGTGCATCTCTTCTTTTATCCTTTATAGTGGACAAGAGCTTTGTTATACCCCTTTTATTAAAGTTAAAAACAGGCCCATCTTGAACATGTATTTTGGTTCTAATAACTAGCTGTAAAGAATGATCTTGCAATTGATATACAGTAACACGACCAAATATGCCAGTCCCCTGTCAATTTTAGTTATAGTTCCTATAATATAATAATTTTATCCATTTTTTAGTGTTCACATTTAAAAAAATGATGTGATTTTAGTTCTTCATGTTTTTATTCCTTAATAAGTAAGATCACATCATTTGTTAGAATTGGGAGTAGTCATGAATAATTTTTTTAGAAACTAAAACAAATAATCGTGATATTTTCAAGAATAAAAAATATTTAACCTTGTATTTTATGATATGATAGATTACTGGGTGTATCTCCAATGTTTACATAAACTCTTGTACCTTATTAATGAAATGACTGTTCAGCTAACTATTCATTGATTCTTATCATAGACAGCTTGAAAATTGTGGTAAAACTATGTATTAAGCCTAAATATGTTGCCATCAGTTATAATTGTGATTTTTTGTTATTTAATTATTAATTAATTACATACAATGCACATTGCATGGCATCACTCTATTGCCATAATGGATGTAGAAATGAGTTAGAGAAAACCAACCGAGCCATTATGATCTGTGGGCCTATGATAAATGAATGAGACTACTACTAGGCCGAGATAAATGGGTCTATGCTTGAGGCCATAATTAGGCATAGCCATAGGCAATTTTAAGGCCTAGATTTTATGAAAAAAAAAGAGGCCTAGTTTAAGTTTGACCAAGACCAGGTGATCGTAAAGATAGTAGCTTGATCACAATGCCTAAAACCATTCTTTTGTGTTCCTTTTATCTAAAAATCTTTTCCCCTCCCCCTCTTATTTTCCTCTCTCTCTTTGTTTTTTTGTATTTCAATTCAATTTTCTAATTTGTGATAAAATAAAATTTGATTAAAAAAAACATGTCAATAGCACTCATCTTTTTCAAGAAACATTGGATTTAACTATTTATGTGGTACAAAATAAGTTTATCCCGATTTAACTATCAGAAACATTGATTTTTCTCTATCAATGTAACAAAATATCCCACTTTTGCTCCAATCCTCTCCACCCATTGAGATCCAAGTTTTGAACTACAATTTTTTTTCCCTCCCTTTCGCCTAAAACCATGGTGTATCTCTTCTTGTGCTACAAAATATCCACTCATGCCAGAACTAATTTCCGTCCCCCTCTTTCTTTTGCCTCAACCATGGGGCCTCACTTCACGTTTTGCAAACTCCCCAAAACTCCATTCCATCCTCATAGGGTACAACGGGACATGACACAACCCTTCACCTTCTCATTTTGTTTACATAAATGAAAGCATTTCCCATAATTAGTGGATGTGTACCCTCCACCGGTGAGCAAAAATATAAAGCTAGAAAGTCCTCAGATAGAAAAAAGGAAAAAATATCCAAAACTAAAGTTTACTATCTAATATCTTATTAATCCAAAATAGTTGAAAATACTTTTGTTTCTCACAATAACTGTAGTTTAAAGTTATATATATATATATATATATATATATATATATAT